TAAATTGGGTGCATTACAAATTAAGTGTGTTGAAACTTTTTATTGCAACAAATTTCATTGTTCTCAACCTATTGTTTTACGCAACAAAAATAACATGGCATGTTTGAAAGTGATCAACGCGTCCCAGACTGCAGTGTCGGGATAACTGAAAAGCTGCTGCTGCTGGTACTCGGACCCTCTCACACTGCCCAGCCACAGACGGTGGGGAGTTGCTAAATTTGTTCCCATCCATCTTCGAAATTAGTTTAGGACTGCAGACAAATCTTACATGTGTTTTGATTTTCATCCTCATTTCTTTATCACCTTGCTTATCTCTTTGTATCTCATTATGTCTCCTCCTTATCTCACATTTAACCCCCCCCCACCATTTGTTTCCCATGTCTCCCTAGCTGTTTCTATTCTCGATCCTTTTTCTTTTTTTCCTTTTTCATATTCACTCTGGCGTCTCAGACTAGCGCTTGTCGTGACTCTCTTCATCTCCAGCATACTTGAGGGATTAAGGAGGGATGAAATTCACTCATTCGTGGGCGGAGTGAAAAAAAAGAAGGGCCCCGTACAGTACAGCACTTCATCTATGGTGCCGTGAGATCCTTTATGAAACCTGAGGTCGCTCTGAGCACCACTGTTTAATCTCTTTCTGACCCACCTCTGGGCCCAGAAAACACCGAATAAGGCGTCTATTTCTAATATCTTCATTTTTTCCCCCAAAATTTCCAGCTACGGTACATTATGAAAAACACTTCATCCAAGCCTTTTTTTGAAACAAATGTAAAAATATATCACTGATAAGACCTTATTCACATTTTTCAAGCAATGCAAGCAACCACAAGGTAAAGCTTTAGTTCTGGATCGGACCAGCTGTGAACTTGTTGCAGGTGGTAACAACCTTGATAGTCGTGCTATCAGTGCTTTTGATTTGGTTATTTTTGTTACTTTGTCTTGTTTTATCTCTTCCTCTGTATGACCCTGTCTCTGTTTTGAGACTTTATCATGATGAAGAACTTTTCATCTGAGACAGTGTTTCCCTAAAGTCCCTGATAATATCACTGGCTGCACATCCTTGTTGGTGTGTTGTGTTATCTGTTATCTGCTCAGGAGCTGCACAATAAATGACAGACTGGGGAACAGTGGAACTTTGCATGGGAAGGATCTGATTACTGTCTGACTTTGAAGTTCCCTCTCACAAGTATATGTGAGGTTTTATCTCTTTGCAAGTCTGCACTGTAGCAAGTGCACCTGCTTAGATAAATGTGCGCGCTCGTGTATATGCAAAATTGTGTGTGCAAACTGCATGTACGTGCAAGTATGAACATGGAGCGTCCCGTTGTAATTGTTTGAGCTGAGGGTCACATCGATCTGTATATGGTGCAGTAGAGTCAGTCCATTCATTCAAGTAGTTTTACTTTCATCGTGACTGCAGAAGACGACAGAGCAGGAGACAAACAAGACCGTTCCTGCAGGATTTGAGCTCAGGCCAACAGTTGTATACAGTTTACAGTTATTCTCAGCAGCAACATTTCTAACCAACCAAATAAGAATAGAAAGAGAAAAGACAAGATGACACAAGGAAAGTCAGATCTTAATCAGTGCACTGTTGTGTTAACTACTGCTGTAAAAAAGTAGACAACACTGGATGTGACATGCATGAATGACATATTCTGGTATTCTCAGTAATGATCACTGTGCTCCTCGTCATTTTCATGACATTACTTATTGTTTTTTAACATTCTCTATTTCCCTGCTTGTCCTCACACCTGCACTTTTTGGAGTCTATGACAAAGTACTCCCCTATTTTACTCTACCTCGCAGAGATGTGCACTTCAATGTTTCACTCTCCAAACAAGGGCAAGAATGCTGGGCACCTACAGTCATCCCGTTATCCAATTAATGCACCCCATTTTAGGGTATGTCTCCAGCAATGTGCTTTTCCACCTGAGTTCACTTCCCTTTCAGATTCATTCCCACATTCCCATTCTCCTCATCGTGCCCCATTTCTTAACTTCTGTCTAAGACAGTCCAACGCAGATTATCAGAACAGCCGTCAACCAACATTAAGCGATGATTCAGACTGAGAGTGTGAGCTGAGGTAAAGAAGAAAATGACATGGCACTCCCCTTTTTTGACTGTGGCTGCTTTCAGCAAATCAAAAAAAATAAAAAATTAGATTGGTTTCAGAAGAAACCAAAAGCAAAAAAAAAAAAAAAAATTAACTACTAAATACAAATTCTAAAGAGATCCAGCACAACATTTTACAGATGGGTTTTCATGTTTTTGTGCAATACAAAAGAGTTAATGCCCAGGGAGAAATCTTATCAAGAACCACAGTTCATTACAAAGTGCATGATTGTAAAAAAAATGCTGTTTTATAAATGTTATTATTAAAGTTGCATCTGCTCTTCCACCAGATGCAGTCTTGCTGTATCTCTTTCACCAGTCCACCTTGCAGTACTTTCTTTTGTGCTAAAGCAGAAGAGCAGAAGGAAAGTTTCTTCACGCTGTCGACGCCATCTAACTGTCTCTGTCTCTCACTTCCAGACTCTCTTTCTCTCTCTGACAGTGATACAGGGCTCAGAACAAAACTCCATCCAGTACATTCGCTAGTTTTACAACTCTACACCTCCCATTATAAAAACCAGGCTGGCTTTTGTGAGCTGCTGACAGAGCTGGCTTCCCAGAGCTGCCCCTGGCACATGCACACGCACAAGCGCACTTGCAAACACACACAAGGCACAAACAAGCCAATTCTCTCTCTCACATCCAGAGAAAAATTGAACATACTACATGGAAATACACTTATATGCATGGATATCAGTTTTACACTCTCTGTGTCTCACACACACACACACACACACACACACACACACACACACACACACACACACACACACACATACACATACACACACGTGCGCCCACGCACACACACACACTCACATGCACACCTACACACACACAAGCTTCCTGGTGGCAGTGGGTAGATAATAAGCGGTTGTTGAGAGGGAGTGTGTGTTGCTAAGTATTGTACATGTACCTGCTAATTAACACATAGAGACTGTCTGTATGATTTAATTATGTGTGACTACCACACACATACACGCTTAAAGAAAGACAAACACACACACACACACTGCACACATAGAACACCTGTATTGAAAATACTACATTGTTTCCATAGCGATATTGTCAATACACTCTCAATAATCATAGGAGGAATCCAACAGTGGGTGTCCTTGGAGAGTGGATACGGATATGTGTGTGCGTGACTGTGCAGACAGTGCATACACGCTCTGATGCACACAGTTGTCTGTGTGCTTATGTGCAAGTGCTTTTATTATTTTTTTACTCTAATTTGCAGGTTGTTACATTATACACCACATGTCACGGCTGATTATGTGGGATTACTGCTAATTTTCAGACAAGTTGAATTATTAGAATGGATTACAAGGAAACCATAACTGTGATACATGCTGTCTACCATGGTCATATATATCTAAGTCCTGGTGGTAACAGAATGTATTTGTCTTTGGATCTTACTTTCCATACTGTTATTGGCTAAGAGGCTGAAACAAGATGCCCTATGAATAATGTCTTCATTCGATCACGTGTTGACATGTTAGTCTGTCATATAAATGGCATTATTAGAATAAAAATAGATTGGTTTTCAAAAACACTGGGAAGGAGTTTGAGAGGATGAATGTGCGTGCCTGTGTGTGTGTGTGTGTGTGTGTGTGTGTGCACATGTCTTGCTCGGTATCAGACCGCCAGGAGAGGGGATGGTAAAGTGTTTGTTCTGCTTCTTAAAACAAACTCTCGAAGCAGATGAATGATACAGGCAGTGCGATTAACAGGCACAAGGCTGAATGAAAACCTATGAGGTAGTCCTTTGCTCTCTCCCATTCTCTGTGTCATGTAAACCCTTCCGACTCCTATTTCATGGGAAAAGTTATGGATCAGTTATGGACTAAAAGTCCCTGAATCTCCGCAGATGTGATAGAGTAAATGAAGTAAATGACAAAGGAGGGTTGTGAGAAACGGAGTTGAATGTACATAACATTAACAGCATGGAGGGGATGAGTGGCTGATTGCTAAGGCAAGAAGCAGAGGAAAAGAATGGAAATAAAGTCATCTTATAAAGCCACTTTGCTGTTATACCACTGAAGTGGCCACAGAGGCTGGCATTGCTTCAAAGTGGTAGAGCCAAGTCCTTCTTTCCCATTAAGAGTAAGAATAAACTATTTATCTTTATTATATACACTCATCTGTCAAAGCTATTGAGGAGGTCCACAGTCCGTATGTGTATATATATTTTAATGTTTTAAATATTTGAACTACACGAGGCATGCTTCATTTATCTCACTACACATTTAAATATGGATTTTTTTTCTTCTTCGTCTCTGTAATATAATATGTAGACTTCTCATTTAGATGGTTTTAATCTGGGAACGTCTTACGGAGGGCTGATTCGGGGAGAATGTGTGGTTTAAGCACTGAAGTCCTTAACTGCTACAAAAATCTCCAGAGAAGCTGTATCATCTGGAAATCTAGAAAGTCTGCCCTCTGGTTCACCAAAATCAACTTAGCATTAAGATCAACTGTAAACGGCCTGTCTGTTAAGAGACTTCCAACTGTGTGACTTCCAACTTTGTGAGGACCACACACTTCTTCCAAGTGTAGTCCAATAGCAAAACACAGACTGTGAATGTGACGTCAGAAGATGCCTCTGGGAAACTCTGTGCTCTCTTGTCTCCCATGTGCCTATTCAAGAGGCACATTGTCGCCACGGCTGAGATGTGGTGGGCAGAGTTGGCAGGCGAAGCAGCCGCAGAAGAAAACTTAGTTTGCATTTGGTTCGTGGCTGCTGATGAGTGCAGCCACATTGTTTACTGTGTGATTCAGTTAACAGGTGTTGCTCAACAAAAAAAAGCACAGTGAACTTTTCTATTGTTGTCATATCTCTCTGTAATTGTCCTCCTCTCTAACTTTGTGTAAAACTTTTGCAGGGCGGTGGGCAGTCCGCTGGTGATGGACCCCAACAGTATCTGCAGGAAGGCGAAGCGTCTGGCAGGGAAGCAGGCTGAGCTGTGCCAGACTCAGCCAGAGATTGTCAGTGAGGTGGCCAAAGGGGCCAGGCTGGGAGTCAGGGAGTGCCAATACCAGTTCAGGTACCGCCGGTGGAACTGCACCAGCCACAACAAGTACTTTGGCAAAATACTGCAGCAAGGTGAGTAAGGGAGGGATGGATGTGTGCAGTTTTGCTCATAGGATAGCAACACTTGTGTCCTTCTTTTTCCCATCTCTCATTTACCCCTAATATCTAGTTTGATTTGCCATTTATATCGAGTTAAGCAATAGTTCAACATTTTGGAAAAAGCACTTATTTGCTTCCCGCGGAAAATTAAACGAGAATGTCAATACCACTAGTAAGAAGTTGTAGCCAACACCCTATTAGCTAGTTTAGAGTAAAGACTGGAAACGGGGAAACAGCTAGTCTGGTTCTGTCCAAAAGGTAACAAAATCCACTCACCAGCACCTCAAAAGCTCACAGATGAACATATCCCATTTCTTGAAACTGTACAAAGATAGAAGAAAAAATACGATAATTTACGGTGTCAAAGGGATTTATGTGTGGGATTGTTTCGTGGACAGACGCAGTGACTTCCTGGGGTCACCGCAATATATATTCATGTATGTGATATTATGTGCTATGTCCTGGCACTGTAGCCAGATATTAGACAGGCAGAGTGGTACTGACCTTCTCATTTATTTCACAGCAAGAAAGCACTTGGATATGAATAAATTCCCATAATCATCTTTGCGCTCTCCACCAGTGCTTCCAAAAGCTTTTCATAGGATTTTCATAGGATTTCTTGGATGAAAAAAAAGACATTAAAAACATTGTCATGCCCCATTTTTCAACCACGAGTGTCTTAGGATCTGAACCCATGACCTCATGACCGCAGCCGGCGGCCTTACGTCAGCTTGAGGTCAGATCCCTGTCTGATGGCAGCACAACAGACAAGGGCAGCTGTTGTATTTCAGACCAGACATATTCACACTTGACTGACTCTCCTCTTCATCAGATTGGGCACGCTTGAAGTGATCAGCTAAGATTGCCTGTTCCCTTAACATCTCTCTGAAGATCTCTTGACATCTTCCTCCAGCTCTTTGAAGTCTGTAATATAACTGATGTTGGGTCAGCGCTGGGTCTTTTGCAATTACTGTGTTGGTTTTTCTCTCGTATGATTAGATTCATAGAGAGCCGTCTGTCTCTTCTTTGACTGGTAATACAGAGGACCTTTATCTGTGTGTATAGTCAACAAACAGGCAATAACTAATATTAATACACAACAAAAAATGTGTCAGACATGTTATTAAATCCATTTTGGGTCTCATTGCACGAGTATGGGCGTGTTGAAGTTTTTTGTTCTCCTTCCAGTAACATCACGAGGAAGTGGCACATGGCTTTTTGATTTAATTCATTTTCCATAGCACAACTCAACAGTGGAGACTGAAATGTAATTTTCAATCTACAGGATTTTTACAACTTTCCCATTTTGTAAAATTTGCGATAAATTCTTGGCGTAACACTACATTAAGATTCCAAGTTCCCCAAAGGAAGTACAATATTTTTAATATGATGTTTGACTGTTACATAAACTTTTAACAGTTTCTTGCATTGGAAAGATACATATCAGTGTGGAGCTGTTGCACAGCTAACATTTAGCATTTAAGTGTAAGGTGGTACTTATTACTTTCTGCTGTGACAAAGCCAAAAAATTTGTAATTTGACATTTTACGTGATTTAGACATTGCCCCTGTTTTGTGGGTCCCTGCAGTCAAAATAAAAGACCCGAGTCAGAACTTTGCCATTGTGTAACATTTGGAGCATCATTTGTAAAGTTTAAGTTTTATAAAAAAAAATAAAATAAAACATCCTCATATCTGTCTGCATGAATATACATTTTGTATGCTTCATCTCCGAACTGGAGAGTTTTAATGCAGAAATGCTTTGAAAGCTTCCTCTCTCTAAACCACATAAGCTACATTTGCACTAAGACCATATCCTGAACCACACATTTCAGTAACAGCAGGCCACATTAAAGCACATCAGCTACCCACATGAGCACAATTCAGCTTCTCACCGTCAGAAACATTATTTGTCAGTACCTCGTGCAGCTGAAACTGACATGGTTAAAGAGCATATTGTTTTGTCTCTTATCTCATTTGAATTTATGACACCACCAGTGTTGCCAGTGTCTCTGACAGAGAAATAAAGAAGGGAGAAAAAAGAAAGAAGGCAGAATGATAGATTGAGAAAGAAAGAAGGAGGAGAAGAGAGGGAGAGGAGGCAAGAATCTACCAGTAGGAGACAGACTAGCAATTAATCATAAATTCCTGCCTGTCTATAAGAGAGGCCAAAGTGCTCCTCTGTTTTGAAGTCTTTGTCCTCAATTACCTGGATCTGCTCTTAATGGCTGTTTATCATGAACTAGTACCAGTAAATGTCAAAATAAAAGTGCCTTTCTGTGTAATGCACTCTCTTTCTAAGTGGTTTACTTAACCTCATTGACCTCTGTTTAGAGTTTTATGTGATAGGGTTATACACTGACACACACCTCCTAACTGTACAGTGAAAACAAAGCCACGGGGTGTTTGGGTCTGGAGCACAACCAAACTGGCTGAACCATCTTTTCTTTTCTTTTTTTTTTTCTGTCTCCACTCTACAAAAACATCTCCAGGCTATCTTCAGCCATTATTCAAACATAAACCGTGCTGCACTTGTGTTATGTGCTGTGTTTGTTATGTGCTTCCTCAGAAATGGGATTCACTTTGTGGCATTGGTGTTGCATGTCAATGTGTGTGTCTAACTTAGAAAAAAGACTGTAGCTTGTCAGTGGATTAAGAAGTTAATTTCATAACAGTACAGGTAACGTGTGTGCGTGTGTGTGTGTGTGTGTGTGTGTGTGTGTGTGTGTGTGTGTGTGTGTGTGTGTGTGTATTTCATTCCTTACAATGTTTTGGATGATGAACATGAAAATGGATACGTCACATATCCAGCTGCATGGAAATTAGATAACACACATATATTCATGTGGCACCGTGCAAATGCTTACGTTTTGACTGGAGACCGAAAGTGTGAGGTGTGGGAATATTTGTGTGTGTGTTTGTGTAACAGGGGTTTTAGGTGATTTCACAACATTACTGCCATTTCACACGTTTATTGCCAAAAGTGTGAATGAATGAACATGTCGACACAAGGATGACAACTTATTTTGCATCAGAATCAAAATGTTCTTTTCTCTGGACATGAACCTTTCACGTACAGTCAGCTCCAAACCAAGGCTGAATTTCTGGTTTCTCGTCATTAAATGGTAGTTATTATCCTCTTTTCCTTGATCTCTGTTTAAATAACACACAGACCCTGGAGCGGTCATGACAGGCAGTGCAAGCCAGCCAGCATACCGTGATGCTGGCAGTCACAGAAGGGATGCTGCGGCTTTTCTTTGAAAGTCCCGATAGGTTGTGTGTACGAATGTGTGTGTGTGTGTGTGTGTGTGTGTGTGTGTGTGTGTGGACTATTATACTGCTGTAGAATAAACAAGGGCTCTTGCTCTGGGCTGTACAATTGTTGCACATTAATTAAACCAGTCATCAATCGTGTCAGAAATTTCAGAATTTTCTCATTAATGCTCTTGCACACAGGTCACACAGGTATACAGACATGTTGACACAGGTTTACACCTTTGCACGCTTTGTGTTTTCTTGTGGCCTTTTTAACTGGTATTTTAAATGAAGTGAGTAGAACTACTTTGTTTGTCAGACAGCAGTGATCAACGCTGACATGATAATGAAAACACTTTCAAGGTTTGACTTATGTGATTTTGTGTCACAAACCTGGCAAGTACACTGAGAGTGTCAGACATTAGGTTTAAATAAATCAAATAATCAATGTCAGGCTGTTGCGTTTTGAAGTCAGTGAGTTTCCACACCCGCGCAACACTTTGCTTTATGGTCCAGTTTGTTGTAGTCCAATTTTTGACCAGTTGCTTTAAGCAGAAATGGATTTAACACACATGAGCACTTATACCATCGTGGCACAGTAATTTGCCCCTCGTCTCAATGTGAGATGTAGAGGTTTTTACGAGTCTAAAATTCTGGACCCAATCAAAACAGACCAACTGAAAAAACGACCCAAAACCTACATGCATTAATTCTTTTTTTTTCTTTTTTTTTTTTTTTAAAAAGAGATCCAAACATATCAAAAGATAATTAGATCTGATTTAAAATAAAGTTGACCTGAATAGACCCTAGATTTTTAGTAAAAATGAAGATTGTCTCCTCAAATCCACGTGTATAAGACTTATTATCACACAGAACCAGGACCTATGGCAATACAATGGGACCCTGTCTGATATGTAGAGATAGTATATGGATCTTTCCTCCCACAATCCAAACACATGCAGGTAATGTTAATTGGTGACTTAGAAGGTATGAATTCATGTGGTTGTAATGCTGCAGCCTTCCAATTGATTTGTTCCCTGTCCGTGGTGTACCACTGCCTCTCGTCAATGTGAGAGCTACCCCCCGAGGCCCGGAAGATGATAAGACAGATGGTATAGTATATAATCAATGGATTCACTCCAGATGTTGTAATCTTGGGTTTTGTAGATAAGTGTTTTTTCCATACACCTGAGATTATAGTAGTAGGTCCCCATCTGTCCTCTAACTCAGCCACTTACATGACTTTGTGGCAAACTAGATACTGCAGGATGTATTGGAGCCTTTCCACAGCTCACAGTGCAGACTGTCTGTGTGCATTTGAAAAAAAAGAAAAAGAGCACTGCATGTTATCATCAGTTGCTGCAAGTGTCACACAAAATTAGCACTTGATTTTATGAGAAAACATTTTTTAACCTCTGCTTATCTGGACTGTGAGGTCATTGTCTCAGATTGAAGGTACCAGACCTCCTTTGTATCTTGGCCTAAAGTCAGAGCATTAAAAGAATATGTGCTAATTCTTGCAGAAGGGACCTCTGGAATTAGAAGCAGACATAGACAGGCCCAGACACCCACCGTGGCAGAGAATTTGTTTGGAATTCATGTCTCCGAGGAAAATATGAAACAGGGTGCCTCAAATCATCAGATTTTTGATAGCTTCTTTTACGCATAACAATACTCTTCTCTCTGTTTTCTCTCTCTCTTCTAACCCTGTGCTCTGTTGTTTTTATTTCCTGTTGTTTGACTTCTCTCTTTGTACACTTTTAGTGGGATCATATTTTGCTCCAAGTCACTGACACCTTTTGGAACCTTTTTTTTTTTTTTTTTTACCAGGAAAAAAAAAAAAGTTTAGTGGTAAATAAGACAGAGAAATAAGACATAATTAAACACATCAAAATGACATTTGTCTTCTGCAGATTGCCTACTAAATGCAGTGTCTCACCAGTGCATCTGAGGACATCTGGACAGGCTCCCAGCTTGTTTGGATACGGCATGTGTTACTATCACCATATTGTTCTAATAATGAGTTGTGTGCTGATGTTTTACACACGTGTCTCGAAAAAAAAAAAAACCCAGGGATGTTTTGAAGATGACACATCTTGATTTGAGACTGTCGCTGCTCCTGAAAATCTGAGCCCTTTTCTGCTGAGCAGCAGGAACAGTAAGGTGTGGTCTGTCTGAGCTGTAACAAGGGCATGCAGCACACACACACAGACACACACACACGCACGCACACAGACACACACACACACACACACGCACGCACGCACACACACACACACACACACAGACATACACACACACACACACACACACACACCCCCGATCAAATACAAACCATGAGATAAAAAACATTAGAGAAACTGACTATTTGTGAAATGCCATAAATGCTTTAAATCTCCATTAAACAGTATTTGTCACACACACAAACGCATTGACACGCATGCACACAAACCTACACAAATTTGCCTGCATTGGAGACATCTCTGGGTGTTGGGGTGTACAGCTGGTATTGATATCACGGCGTGCTGGGGTGTGCAGGTTTCGTCGCACGCCATCCATTCTGTGTGTGTGTGTGTGTGTGTGTGTGTGTGTGTGTGTGTGTTACCATTCCTAATGAATCCCATTCACTGAATCATGCGATATGGAGTTGGCAGTGTTGATGGTGGTGACTGCACGCTCACTGCCTTCCAGCTCTTAGAAATAAAAGTCCTCTGCTCAGTCTCTACACACATACAATGGCTGAACAAGTGGCTATTCTTCTTCTTCTTCTCGTCCTTATAACGCATTCATTTTATGTCTTTTTGACATAAATCTCTAAACAGGTTACATGTCTCTTTTTTGGAAAAGGCTTCGTAATTTCCTAAAACAGCTGGGCACTATAGTTTGTAGCGAGCGTTACTCAAACAGGAATAAATAGTGCAATTGTTAGGAACTAATTTCAGCAGCGGATTAATATGCATTTAGTGCCCTAGTGAGTGGCAGCGGGACGGCATATGCAAGATTGACTGAAAACAATCTACAGTGCCCGTGTTCATCTTAAGGAAAGAACTCAGTGGTGCAGCTGAGTGGTTCATCTATGAGTCTTCAATAGTTTTTGGAGCTCTATGGCACAGAGTAACAAACGTCAGGTTTTGTTCCTGACAATACAGATTCTCAGCTTCTTTCATAGCTGCACTTTTCTTGTGGACTGAACGACAATAGCTGCAATAACAGAGGATAAAGACGTGTTGAGCTGAGGGTGAGAATGATGCTGAAGCCACTGGCGAGGACAGACGATCAATTTGCAGTTGTGGTTGGACATGCCTTTAGCCAGGAGTGTTAAGCTCTGCGCCTGAAATAAACCAGCAGCTGTGGTGTGTATGAGTGTATGAGTGCATGACTGCGTGCATGTGTGTGCACGTGGGAGAGAGCCGGAGGACTAGCCGCCCTCTCAGCACTACAAATCCAGCGACGCTTGAGATTGCTTTCATCCTGTTCCATGTAGCAGAGATATCGACTGATTAACTGACTGGCTGGATGGAAGGACAGATGTCTGGATGAATGGATAGATGGATGGAAACTAGCTTCTTGCACTTGTAGAGTTCTTTCTTTTTCCTAGTTGTTATCCTGCGATTGATTGGGGAGGACATGTGGTTGATCAAATACAAAGACCATCGTGTGTCAGTGAAAAAATCAACAGATGTCTGAATGTGATGTGCTGTAATGTGTGGGTATTTATCATGTGATTGTACTATCACTGTATCATAATAAAAAATGTTGAACCCTGTGCAAAGTATGAATAAGCACATTCTCCAAAATGTTGAACTTATTATGGGAATGAAGGCAAGTGCCAGTCCTCTGTTTTGAGTTTTGGTGTGGGCCTGTTTAAACTGAGATTATGAATAATCCTTTAAATACATATATTTCTCTGTGTCATTAGATATCAGAATATCTTAAATAACTCTACTTCTTCATTTTGGCACCTCTGCGTGCAAGCCAAACTTCAATAAACTAAAGCCCCTCTTCTGCTTGACTCTTCCATTGTAGATATTCGGGAGACAGCGTTTGTTTACGCCATCACGGCAGCCGGGGTGACCCACGCTGTGACCCAGGCCTGCAGTATGGGAGACCTGCTGCAGTGCGGCTGCGAGGCCACCAGGAACAGAGCACCTCCGAGGCCTCCTTCATCCTCCTCCTCGGGGGATGGAGTCAAGTGGGAGTGGGGCGGCTGCGGAGATGATGTGGAGTTTGGTTATGAAAAGTCAAAACAGTTTATGGATGCCAAGAGGAGAAGAGGCAAGAGCGACATCAGGACGCTCATTGATCTGCACAACAATGAGGCTGGGCGGCTGGTAAGAAGTAGTCTGAGAATGAACGCCAGAGTATGTCTCCGCAGTTTTGAATGGGTAGAGTTAAGAATAAATTGACCACAACTTTAATGTATTTCATAAAAAAAAACACTACTACAACTACTACTACTGTGCTTAATGCAGAGAGGCCTGATGTTTCACTGCTCTGGAATATTCCTCATTCCACGAACACGTTAAAGAGAAAGACATCGCCCCTGGCCATATTTGTGTAGCGCCGTAAGCCGATATTCTGACAAGAATCAGGTTTCTGAAACACAAAAACAAGAACGTGCCACACATTTTGTTTTCAAGCCTGCGAGGCAGGTAGCTTCTAACATTTCCACAGCCCCTGTTCAAGTGTAAAGTTCCTCTTTGTTGCTCGTGCGGACACAGAGTGAATTATGGCCACGGCAGGTCATCGCGCTACAGAAAGAACAACTAGCAGCCTTTCATATGAGTTAATTGCGTTAATTTATGGTGTAGCTATAAGATGACATTTACCATTTGACCTGTCAGTGTTTTGTTGATCTCGGTTTGTTACACCCACCTGCAGAAATGTTGACACATGCACAAGCAAAACACAGAGTTACAGAGTTCACTGTAGCTGGGGTCAAAGGCAGGTAGAGAGTAAGAGAGGAGAGGAGGATTTTGGGATATAGTCTGTGCATGCATGTGTACTTGTATACACATTTTGCAAGTATGTGTGTGCGCGCGCGCGCGCGCATGTGTGTGTGTGTGTGTGTCTGTTTGTGTGAGTATGTGATGGGTTAATTATGTGCAGTATAAGTGAATGATCTGTTGTCAAGGCTTGTTAGATGTAGGAAGGCCTGAGGCAACCTGGAGCGAGAGAGGGGGGTTGTGGAGTTAAATTCCTTCTGAATAGCGTCTGCTTTTATCTTACCTATCTATCAGTGTGTGTCTGAGTGTGTGTATGTACGTTTGTGCGTGTGCGTGTGCGGGTGTGTGTGTTTGTGCGTGTGTGTGTGTGTGTGTGTGTGTGTGTGTGATCCGGTGGCTTTGTCTGTGATATATCATGAAAACACAATAATAAATTACCGCTTTAGAGAGCTTGTTATTTGTCAAAAGCAGCAGTTCTGCTTCACTTCAGGGTACAAGGTTAACACAAGTCTTTACCCCCTTTTTTTCTGTTTGACCAACCTTCTCCTTCTCTGCTTTTTCTTTTCACCTGTTTGCCCTCCTTCACCCTCTCCCCTCTCTCTCCCACCATACAAAACCCTGCACCCACACTCTCCTCCACACTCTCCCTTCCCAGGCAGTGAAGCTCTACATGAGGACAGAGTGCAAATGCCACGGACTGTCGGGCTCGTGCACCTTGCGCACTTGCTGGAAAAAGATGCCTCATTTCCGTGAGGTAGGCGACCGTCTGCTGGAGCGCTTCAACGGCGCCTCCAAAGTGATGGGCGGCAACGACGGCAAGACCCTGATCCCAGTCGGCCAGAACATAAAGCCACCAGATAAGCAGGATCTGATCTACTCGGACGAGTCGCCCGATTTCTGCCTTGCAAATCGGAAAACGGGTTCACTTGGGACTCGAGGCCGCATGTGCAACAGCACAGCCATGGACATCAGCGGCTGTGACCTGCTGTGCTGCGAGCGTGGCTACAGGGAGGAAACAGTGGTGTTTGAGGAGAACTGTCTGTGTCGTTTCCACTGGTGTTGTGTGGTCCAGTGCAAGAAGTGCTTGGTCCGAAAAGAGCTTAGTCTCTGTCACTGATGAACTGATGAACTGAGGTTGAGAGTAGTCTGTGTGACATGGTTCATTATAATTACGTCTGTTACTTTTTGAGGTGTTTGCTTTTAGTTGTGTAAGTGTGAAAGAAGGAAAGGGTTTGGACTTTCATGGTGATCCTTTCCTTTCCCGTTTTTGCACCAGTTACAATCAGACAATGCCCCCAAAAAATTTCATTTCAAATAGTGATCGGCTTCCAGAAAGACGTAAACGCAACCGCACGGAACCAATGGAAAACAGGGACTATGTTACTTCACTGAACTACCTATTTTTCATTTCTTGTTTATGAAAATGGACCAAAGAATGTGAAAATGTGCATTTTCCATCTAATTGAAAGAGGAGGACCTATGCTTGGAAGACCTTGACACGACCAGCCAACAGTTATTTTCGTGCCTCTTCCTTCCACTACCAGTTCAACAGCAGAGCTTGCTGTGGGTCTCAAACCAAAGAGTTTATGGCATCAACATGTATTGATGCACCCGATTTGATTACGCAATTTCCTTGATTGTATGAACTGGCCACATTGAAGATTATGTGTTTTTCCTGTACTATCTGGCATTAAGAGTCCTTCAGAGACTGCTGTCTATCTGCAGCGTCACAGAAAAATCATGGATCATGGAAACAAAAATCTGATTGTTACCCCAACATATAAGCGCAGTTTAAGGTATCTTTAATTCTTGATCGGAGCATCTTTACAGGCCTATTATACCAAGATCTTGCAAACTGTTGATCACCATCGCAGCAGTCCCTCAGTTACAGTAACTGTAGCCTAACCTTGTCATGGAGCAGGCACACCACATACATAAAGATACTGGTCTTTGACCTTTTTTTTTTTTTTTTTTTGCTACTGCGTCAAAAATTTACCAAAAAGGGAAATGGTATCACATTATCATATTTGAAGAATGCTGTCAACACCATGTTTTACAGGTGAGGACTTGGCCTGCCAGCAAAGACTGTTATTTATATAAAGATATGATAACAAGACTACTCACTTCCATCTCTCTCAGAAGCACTTTGGATGCAACGGCTGCCATGGACTTCCTCAATAGTTTGGCAATAAAACCTTTTAGGGGTCGGCTGTTCCTTGTAAGCCAAAAGAGAAACCTTTATTTACATGACGTTGTTTGGTATCAAGGAAATGTATATGATGTATTGTGTTTATCTGTTATGATATACAGGGCTAATGTAATAATGCACTTTGGATGTTAGCTTTTCATTTGATACTGTATGTACGTGTGTGTGTGTCCGTATGCGTGCGTGTGTGTGTGTGTGTGTGTGTGTGTGTGTGTGTGTGTCTGTGTGTGACTGTGTGTGTGACTGTGTGTGTGACTGTGTGTGAGAGAGAAAGTTATCTGTGACCGTGTGTTTGTACAGGTTGGCCAGTTTTCACCATATCCTTCAGCGGACAGTAGCTTCGGTATATCTTGAAGTTGCTGCCTGATGTTAAACTGCATTCTGTTGGTTATTAAAAGCACACAGCTCTTTGACTCTCTGTCTCGGTGTGAGGCAGACAAGATCTTTTATTTGTTGTTCAGTTTCAGGGGAAGTATGTTTCCCATAAACCTATCATGTCATCTCATTTACACTTAAGTTTTATTACCAGACAATGTACAGTGAGTATACTAAACTATAATACTACATTGCTTCAACTTGCTGTTTGCATTTGAGTGAGTGTTCAGGTAGGATGGTATTTTTACCCTTGAGGACTCAGAGTGATCTCCTTTTGATCTTGTGTGTCATGACTCGGATCTACCTGATGTTCCCAAAGTTACGTAAGGTTTTTGCAGGGCCAAAATGAAATGACCACTGATTATTCTGTTATGAAAGTCCCTTTTCTTATCCAGCTGTTAGCAGTCACTGTCATTTTAAGAGTTACCGCACATTCATCAACTATAATCATTTAATTCCTGACACATTAAAGACAAATGCCCACATCTTGTTGTATGAAAAATGCCTCAGAGGTTCACGTGTTGCAGTCCTGACATGCAGTTGAACAGCACAGCAATAAGACCAAATATACCAGTCACACACACTGATGAATAGGGTACACGGTACATTCGGTTTATTATTGTCACTGCATCTTTCATCGTAATGGCACGAGGGTGATGTTACAGTTCATAATCCTGTTGTGTTGATATTACCTCTGCATTCAAATAGTCACCCAAGAGACAGTCAAATTAACAATACCAAGAGCTTCTGTGTATACTTCTTCTTCTTATCTGTCAAGTGATGTGAACCTAAAACCATTTCAATATTTGCTTGTGTTACATTAAACACATTCCAAGTACTGCCAATTCTTGAACATTATTCTAGCTATATTTGCCCATAAAGGCATTGTTAACCAACATGATTCAACACATTTTTGTTGAACAAATGTCACAGAATTCATCCATTGTCATTTATTTAAATACAGTTTTTCATATCTTGCTTTAGATCTGCTCTCCATTGTTGTACTCTACAGAAATCATTTCATATCTGGATGTTACACTGCAGCTTCATTAAACGTAAATGTTGAAAGTGACAACTGTCTGTGGCTCACGTTCAGAACACTGTTCAAACTAAAAGTAAAACATCCGTGTTTTTATTTGATCTTGTCTTTCCATGTGCATTATCTGACTTATATGAGTTGTGAGGTGATGAGATCTTCATTTTGATAACACTGCATTATTTGAACCATGTTGACATATTCGTAAGAATCAAGATGTCCATGTGAGAAAAAGACAAGAAAGTCAACATCCAATCTTTCCCATAGTTTTATAATGTTACAGTAAATAAAGGTGTCACTTTGGACTTGGGCTTTGAGCCCAATCCTGGCAAAAAATATTTCACATCCTCTCATACTAGATACCTGCACGGAGGAGCAGCAAAAAGCAGAGATTTCAACCTGTTGAAATATATAGTTAAAACATTTACACACTAATTTATTACCATCTTGTATCACTTTTTTTCCTTTGGAGTCCTTCCAGAAATTGTGTATCTATGTATCACATACTTTAACTTTAACACAGACACAGGGTCGAGTTAGGTTTTGACTTCATGGATAATTTTCGTCAAACTGGATCCTCCCTGCACCTCTTGATTAGATTCAACAAAAAGAGGTGTTGTTTTGAGGTATTTATGCTGTAGAAATGAAAAGACGGAGGGGGGTGAAAAAAAAAAAAGAAGAGCTGGCCTGTATTAGTTTGAGCTGCACAAGTTGACACAAGTTCTTATTTTCCAGGAATTTGTTGCACAGTGGTGTGTACAAGTCGGGCCAGCAGTCGTGTTTAAGACATGGAGAGGTAGGCCCAATGGGAGGAAAATGCCATGGGGCACTTGTCTCCTCCTGTCTCCCCTAGCTCCTTTCTCCTCTCCTCTCCTCTCCTCTCCTCTCCTCTCCTCTCCTCTCTTTCCTTTAAGCTGTGCAGGCATTCACTGCCGCATGGGCAAAGCCAGAGAAAATAGACAAGTGAGCAGATAGATTTATTGTAGCATTGGTATAAATAGAGCTGCCTGTCGACATCTGTGTGCATGTGGCTGCATGTGTCTGTCTTTGTCAGTCAGTGTTTGTGTGTGTCCATGGGAGTGCGTGGCCAGGTTAGAATGGGTGTATTTTTCCATGTGTCCCTCTCAGAAAGAAATAGTGCCTGAGGAATGCAACATCGTCCCCGCTACAGATGAGTTTTGTCTCCACCTACGTTGACTGTTCTGTGCTTACACACAGAAACGCAGCCTCACACAAAGCGTTAATGAAGGGTTGCCACAGTAAATGGCTCTATAGTGTTACGCTGCAGACTGTCATTTCCATAGATCAATCAGATAAATAGAGTTAGGCAATCTCTTATCTCCTACAGTGGAGTCTTGGTGGTCCTCCGCTTCTATTTACCATACATTTACAGTATGTGTGTGTTCGCCTGCAGAAAAACAACAGGAGATTATATAAAAATGAGAAATGACTGGGCCAGGGGAAATGAGCGACAAGGGAGCACAAATTAATGAATGGAGGAAAAAGGAAAGGAGGGAGAGGCTGAGAGGAAGATAACGAGAGAGAAAGAGACACAGAAAGAGAACTTAGAAGTAACCCGACACTATAATGCTCTTCCATTTGTGTGAACTCTCCTCCAATCCTCTATCAATCTAGCAGTGAGATGTTGCTTACACAAAGGGCACATCCAGAGATCAGCTCTGTGTGGGGTTTCATCTGATACCAATGACTGTAATTATAGGAGTGGGAGAGACAGACAGACAGAGAGAAACATGTTTAATACAAACCGTGAAATGAAGCAATCCCGCTCCTTTTACAGATGAAATATGCACTAAAAGTATAATTTATCATGCTTTGGAGATAGAGACATGCACATTTTCACATTTGTGCACATCCGCATGAACCTCACACATACAACCTCGACTTTGGCTCAGGGTGTTTGGAAGAGACAGTGATCTTTAAGAGTTAATGCAGGCCCTGGAGGTGATGGCTCAGCGGCTGCCTAAGTTCCACAGCCCACCCAACAAGGCTGCTGCTGCTGCTGCTAGGAGATTTAATAGTCCATTCTGTGCACATCAATGCATCTCTGCCCTTTTAGGTACGGCTTGCCTCAGGCCCCTTCAGTAACATTTACTGTACAACAAAACACATCAGGAGTATTTGACTTATCTTGCACAAGGCTGTTCCCGAACACGAGGCGAGTCAAGTGCTAAGCCAGATAAATTACAGTGCAGATAAAGTCCAGCTAAAGTAGTTTCATTATAAAATGTTTTTTGGCAAAATGACCCTCCTCTTTGTGGAATATACTGTATGAGAAAATATGAGTGCTGTTCTCAACGAACCTGTCATCATTGCAACACCCTGAAACAACACTTGCTGCCTTGAGAAACACTCATTGACCCACATTATTGTCGTGGGTGGATAAACATTGGGATGACCTCGCAGTGAATCCTATCTCAGACCGAATCTCCGTCTCTCTCTCTCTCTCTCTCTTTCTTCACACACACGACACACACACACACACACACACACACACACACAGTCACACACACACACACACCATGTCCACACGATCTAAATTAACATTTTGTAATTTAATCAACTTACGGACCCACGGCACCCAGCTGCCACCCACCCACCCCCACCATCTTCTCTGTTATCTTGGGTTGTGAAAACATAGCTGCCAGAGGTTGGTGGGAGACGGAGGGGGCCTGCTGTCTATTGTGGCTGCTTTGGCTCGGTGTCTGTTCCTGTGTGAAGACAGGGCAGGTCTCTCTCTCTTTAGCACAGAGACAATAAACAAGGTTGTTTGTACAACAAGAGTCATGGAATGGCTTGATGGGAAGCAGACAACCAGCTTGCTAAAGAGGCATGCACATGTGCACTGGCAACTTGGGATCAGTTTGTAAAGCATCTTTTCCCATTCGCATGTTTCTTTAGGGGGGAGGATGAGGAGGGGAGCGATAATGTTTCAACACTCAACACAACCCTCCACCTCAGCTACAAGCGGCTGCAACAGTGTATTAGTAAAGACTCCAATCACTGTAACATATGTTTGACAGAGATCGTCCATTCATTTTGGTGTTTGAACACAAGATGGCGTCCTTGGAGCAGAAAGCTGATTTACTGTAATGCTACACTTCCATTCTACTAGGCTACACTGAGAGGGCTCATGGCAATGATATCAATGACCCAAAAAAAGAATATTAAATATCTACTAAAGTGAATTAAACTAAAGTGAAATAAGTAAAACAAAGCATATTTGACATAATGAAAATAATGGATTAAAAGGAAACATGGCAGAAACACATGATTTGCCCTTAAAGGCATTTTAACTAAAGCTGCCC